CCATGCTTTGAATCCAGAATGGATTCGGCTGTCGGTCGGTGCGGTGAGCCTGGTGGGGTAACCCTCATAGCAACCTGGATGGTCGGGACCGAGGAAGAGGCCGAGCCCAAGTGGCGGTGTTTTGCCTGCTCGGGGTTCTTCGGCTTCTTAACCGGCTTGCCCGTCTAATCTTTCTTGGCCTTCTTATGCACAGGATATTTATCTGAGTCGCTGTGCTTTCTTTTTTCCTTTTGTTTCCTCAGCAGGGAAACAGATTGGTCGGCCATGGTATGAGCGCCTTCTTCAGAAGGGCATGAGGGCGGAGCAATGGAGGTAGAGGCCGGGCATTGCGGCAGGTCAGCCGAAGTTGGATGGCCTTCGGGTGGGGCCACAACAATGGAAGGCTTAGCCACCAGCCAGTCCTATTGGAGGAAAGCCTGGTCCCATAAGAGTTTGCAGAGGCGGTTCTCCCTGTTCTTCCTCGCCTGTTTAGAGAACGCCAAACAATGGCTGCGCTTATCGGTTCTGTGCCCTTCCCCCAAGCAAAGGAGGCACAGATCATGCAGGTCCGTGGCGGGCATTTTGGAGCCACATTTTCCGCACTTGCGGAACGCTGCCCATTGTGCCATCGTAGAAAGAAGAAAAAAGGAGATAGTAAAGCGGGAAAGTAATATTTTTGTTTTTTTTTATAGGAACGATAAAGAGGAAAAAATGGTGCAAAGTTAAGAAGAAATATAAGTGAAGTACTAACAACAAGAACAAGGGATACAAACTTGGTAGGAAAAAGGAGAGATTTTCGAACGAGCAAGAAGATAAGTAATAATCTTAGCGAGAGTGAAGCAGCACGAGCCACAACGAACGGCGATTGCAAAGACTGGAAAATGGCGGACACTCCGCTCCTTATATAATGCTAGGGGGGAGGGGGAGCAGCGTTCCCGCCAAAAACCATTAGCTGTTAATCTTCCGGCCAAAGGCACTGCACAGGCGCAGAACCCATGTGTGTGATGCACAGAGGCCACGATGAAGAAACAATTTTCTGCACCACCCCAAACCAGTTGGGGCCACAATCATCTCTGCCACCACTGCAATTTCTACTGCTCCCATATCACTGATTTTGCTACTGAAATTCAGTGTTATGATAGCAGCAGTGGGGGAAAGCCATGATTTGCCTCTAAGAGAAACAAAAAGGAAGTTTTGCTGTGCTTCCCTAAGCAAAATAAGGTGGCCAGAGTACTAATAAATGCAGACTTTAAACACTGGGTTTGTTTGTTCAGTTGAAGAGAAAAATATTCATTTCCTCTCCCAGATCAAGTCAAATTTAATAACCATTCCTGTTCAGTGTGCCAGTCAACCATATCTCATGTCAGGGTACTCCATTCCATTCCCCTTTTGCTCTTTTCTCCTCCACCCCTGCTGCTTCCAAGAAACACAGGCACTGAGCCCAGTAGGTCCTCACTGTACCAGCTGCTTCCCCTCCATTTTCTTAACTTTCTGCTCTTCTGCAAACCTTGATGTTCCCTCCTGATAGCCTCCTTTTGTATGTGGATGGGGCTGTTTCGGTTACTTACTTATTTAGATTTCTGTCCTGCCTTTTCCCCTCAAAAAGCAAAAAGAGGCTTCCCTAATTTTCCTCTTCTTGCTCTGACTTATCCTGCACAACAACAACCTTGTGAGGTAGGTTGGACTGAGGATCTGTGGCTAGCCCAAATTCACCCAGCTGGCTCCATGGCTGAGCAGGGACTAGAACCCAGATCGCCTGAGTCCCAGCCCCGTGCTCTTAATCACCACACCACACTGACCTACATAAAGACTGTCACTCAAGAAAGTGAATTTGCCTTTAGTATATAAGCCAGTATTTTTAAACAAAACCTTTCAAGAACAAATACCACATAAATACCACATAAAGAAGCAAAATACATCTGGATTTAAAAGTGCTATTAAATATTAGCCTTATCAGGAGGACGGGAAAAAGTTGTCTAAAGCTGTTTTTGAAAAGATGGAAAAGGAGGGGGAAATGCACCCCCCACACACACACACACAAACACAGAAAAATTGCTGTAGAATGATTTTAGGATAATTTGCAAAAGTCATTTGGGTTGCAGTGCTATAGCATGGATACACCTATATCAACTGTATGTTCTGCAATCATTCCTTGCAGAGATTTCCTGTAATGGAAAATATATTCTTCCGAGGGTCAAAAAAAAAATCACACTTAATCTCCCTCTACAAGTGCTGAAATGGCTGTTTTGGCTCCCCCACACATGTGTCAAATTTGGATGGGAAAAGTAGGGAACCAGGAAGTCTCATTCGCTGGTGTCTATACAGCTTCCTCCCAACAGGCTTAACATGTTTTGTTGATGATTTTAATTGTATAAACTACCCAGACAGTCACGTGGATATTGTAATGGTCCATAAAAGTAAAAATAAAATAAAATATAACATGTTGAACAGAAAATAGGGCACTAAGAGTAGAGCTGTTATGATACACAACTTCTGGAAGGATAGCTGTGTTACTCTGTCACAGCAATGATCACTAAGAGTCCTGTAACACCTTCTAGACTAAGACTTACTGCAGCATAAGCTTTCCTGGACTACGGCCTACGCTGCATCTGAAGTGGCCTCTATTCCATGAAAACTTATACCACAGATCATTTTTTAGTCTTTAAGGTGCCACAGGACTTGTTGTTGCTGGGGCAGAGGTCATCCACTGAGCCTCTGGTCTCTTTCCCCCCCACCAGTTGCTATAGCTCCTTCCTAGCCAAAGCGCATAAGATGCAACAGTGTGCATGGTTCACTTCCCCCTAAGGAATTAACTCCTTAACCACAGACATCTATTCCCCCAAAGCACAATGACCAGGAACTATTTATGCAACTAAAAAGCATCTCACTCAGGCCAGCAGGGGTTGCTCTATACATGCCAGGGGCTTTATCTTTTGTTCAGCTTAGCAGAGGCAAAGTGAAGGCAAGGATTTGCCCTGTGTTGATGAACTACAGTAAGGGAGATTAATTTATGCCAAGTCAATGCAGAATTCTTCCTCTGCCTCTCACAACAGACATTTGAATGTACTGTGTCTTCCTTTCTTAAAAATGTAAGAATGTATGAAATTTGCTATCAAACCAAGCAAAGAGTCAATTGTCTAGGTACATAACCAATGATCTTGTCAGTTCTGATTAATCAGTGGTCTTTGCCAGGCTTCTGGCCAATTAGAATTTACCATAATAAGGAGGTGACAGCTGGTGTTGCTAAGCAACAGCTGTCTATAGAGCTAAAGGAGTCAGACACATTTAGATGCTACTGTGGATTTCGACAGCCGCGTGTCAAAACAACACAGACTTCTGCCCAGTGGAAAAATTTTACAACCAAAGAACAGGTACCCCAGTAAAAATGATTACTTTTTAAATATAAAATTATAAAGTAAAATAGTAAGAATAAGAATTCCTTCTGAGATGAATGAACAACTGAGACATCACCATGGTTTTTAATTAAGAGACAGGGCATGAATGTGCTGGGAGTTTGTCACAGCATAAATTCAGTCTCCAACTGCCTGAAACATGCACAGAGCAAAGAGAGCAGGGCTGTGCTGAGGCAACTCCTGAGTAACTCCTGTCCAGCCTGAATAATTGGTCTTGTTATATATGCTTTATATTCCACCAAATATACTAGAAATCAGAGTAAGAAGAGCACACACACAATCCCTCCCCCTCTCTGTCTCTCTCATAGGTGCTTGCCCTGTAACTTGGAGAGATTAATTTTGCAATGATCTGTCTGGGAGAGAGCAAAGGTCCTTGCCTTTGGCAGGCAATGGCTAAGGGCCAGGTTGCTCACAAAAGCAAAGATTAAGTACTATTCTCCCCCCACCCCTGCCCCAGGTCACTCCACTCAAGCAAGCAAGCAAGCAAGCAAGCAAGCAAGCAAGCAAGCAAGCAAGCAAGCAAGCAAGCAAGCAAGCAAGCAGAGAGAGAGAGAGAGAGAGAGAGAGAGAGAGAGAGAGAGAGAGAGAGAGAGAGAGAGAGAAGCATTTCCCACTAGCAGAAGTTGAGGGACCAGATACAAAGCTGGTGTAAGTAAAATAGATAAAGGCCAATGAAATTACATTGGTGTGCTAGTCTGAAGAAAGAAAGTGTAATCCAGAGCCCTTCACACATGTCCCATATGGAGCCCTGCAAACGTATGGAGATGCCCTCTCTAAGGATGCCCACCTGACACCTACACTGTTAACTTTCCAGTGACAGGAAAAGATCTTTATTTCCTCTCTGTAGGTACCGGTGCCCATTTTTTCAGGCCTGAGTGCACATTTTAGATGGGGGTGAGCTGTGAGCACATTTTACCCGCAAGGCCTTCCTTCCCACCCCCATATTCATTCCATCTCTCAATCTTCCTGCTTCCTAGAAGCTAAGCATGGTGGAAGAAAGCAGATGCAGGTTTGGGAGTGAGTAGGCAGAAAAAAGAACAGTCCTGGAAAATCTGCCTGGGAATCCTGAAGAGTACAAGGTTGTCAGCCTCTATTGTAGGGATATCAGGGTTCAGATCTCTGTCTTCAGATATTATGGCTGCTTTATATACCCTGTGCCTGTTTGCTATGCTATACCAATACTGTATATTATACTATATCTGATTTCTTTAACTATTTATATTGCTTTTAATTTTTTAACCCTTCTAATCTCCCAGAGAATATTTGTTAATGACATAACATTTGTTCCTTTGTGCAATCCACAGAGAACTCAAGCTGCAAAGTTTGCTGATCTATGAAGATCATAGGCAAATACCACATAGCAAATACAAAAACAAAAACCTTACATTTCTCTAATAGGCAGTCTGATACACTGAAAAACTTCTCCCCAAAGGAGCAATGACTTTACATAGGCAAACCAGTGAGGCAGTAATAGTTTGGCAGTTTGGATGACTGACATCCATTCATTACGCAGTCATTTAAACATCACACACTTGGGAAACATCCAGCAGAAAGAACAAGAAAAGCTTCATATATATAAAATTGCAACACCTGCTTCCTGCCGCTTACCTCTTTTATCTTTGTGGTACTGAAGGCTGGGGTCAACAGGCGTCGGACGTTGTTCCATCTCTCATCACGCAGGATGAGGATGCTGTCTGCAAAGGGCTTAGAAACCAAGTCTGGAGTCTAATTGGAGACAAGAAAAAATCCACACTGTTTAACTGTCATTAAACTATTACCAGAAATGTAAAAGGCAATTAAATTATTTAAATTATGATAGTAACAACATTCAAATTCCTGTTTTCTTAGATGGTGTCAGCAGGGTGCACCCCCACACCCCATGGTGTTGGCAGTCTGCAGCAATGTGTAGCGGGGTTGTCAAAGGACCAGGCCTGCGTTTAAAGGGCTGTCCAGTCCAATTCCAGTTTAAAGGTTCCTGGGAAAAAGGAAAGTCCAGGGGCCCGGAAGATGCCTATCAACAGTTAGCACCTGCTCAGCAGAGGGAAAGGTACCCCAGTCACCCAGCCACAGTCTTTCCCATTGTGGAACCATGTATTGCACTTCTATTTAAAGTAAATATTTCTAAATTTGCAACTATACACCTCCCCTCTAAAACAGAAGGCAAAGGGGATTTTATACATATTTGCATAAAACTTGCTAACTTATGGTGCAACTTTAGAAATAATGACCATACTTTGAATAGAAATAAAATAATCTTATACAGTGGGAAAGACTGTGACCCGTGTGCCGGCTTAATCCGCTGCTTAGGTGCTAAGTAGGGTGGGCAACTTCCAGGCCTCTACTTTCGCTTTTTATGGTTCTTTGCCTTTAAAAAGAACAGGGACTGGACTAGCTGTTTTTAATACTTTTTAATGCTGCTTTGTTTTTATGATATTTGTATTGTATTTTATTGTTTTGGTTTTATGGATAACTGTAAACTTCCCAGAAAGTTTCAGTTAAGGGGCATTATAGGAATGAAAATGAGGAGGAGGAGGACAGCAGCTCTTCAGATGCCTTCAAGTAAAGGGTTTTTCCTTATAAAGTAGTACACTTGGCCACCCTAGTAGCCTGTGAAAAATTAGTCTCAAGAATATCATAGAAATAGCTAGGTTGAAGCACAGATGTAACTACAAGAGGTTTTAGTTATTGATCACCATATGATACTTGAGGAAATATTAGACACACAAAAACAATATAGAATCACAGAATAGTAGAATTGGAAGGAGCCAGAGCTCAAATTAAACCATCCCTCTCAGATGGCTGTCCAGTTGCATCTTTAATGCCTCTAATGAGGGAGAGCCTACAAGACTCCCTAGGTAATTGGTTTCCTTGTTGCACTGCTCCGACAGTCAGGAAATTTTCCTGATATTTAGCAGGAATCTCATTCCCTGTAACTTGAGCCCATTATTCTGTGCCCTATACTCTGGAATGACTGAGAAGAGATTCTGTCCTCCCTCTTTCTGACAACCTGTCAAGTACTTGAAAAGTGCTATCATATCTCCTCTCAGTCTTCTCTTGAGATTAAACACACCCACTTCTTTCAATCTGTCCTCATAGGGCTTTGTTTCCAGTCCCTGCATGATCCTTGTTGCCCTCTTCTGAACTATTCCCAGCTTGTCTGGATCTTTCTTAAACTGCCTGGACATAGCACACAGATGAGGCCTAACCAGTGCTGTGTAAAGGAAAACTGCTATTTCATGGGATTTGGAAGTGATACAGCAGCCTAAAATAGCATTTGCCTTTTTTGCAGCCACATCACATTGTTGACTCGTATTCAGTTTGTGAGCTACAACAATTTCATGATCTTTCTCACTTGCAGTCTTGTTGAGCCAAGTATTCCCATCTTGTAACATGCATTTAGTTTCTTTTTCCTAATTAGCATTTTACCCTACTGATTTTAATCCTGTTGCTTTCAGTCCAGCACTCTAACCTATCATGATCACCTTTAATCATATTTCTGTCTTCCAAGGTATTAGCTGTCCCACCCAATTTTGTGTCATCTGCAAATTTAATAATTGTTCCACTGGAACCTTATGTAGTCAAACAACAAGAAGGAAGTATGGTCGGAACCTCAAAGTTGGCAGAAGTACCAAAAACGTTAGAGGAAAAGTCAAAGGGGAAGGCACTCTCCCACTCACTAAAGACTGAGCAGGCTCAGTGGCCATCAGAATGCTGACTGATTGTAGGCATGTCGGGGAGAATGGAATGGAGGATCCTGGAAAACAGCATGACCAGCTGGCTAGCTAGCTGGCTGTATAGAACTCAGAAAAGAAGCATTCCACACTACAACCTTTTGTTCCAGATCTCACTTGTGAACACAAAACTTCTGCCTCTGCGATTGTATACACATAACAGAAGAAAGAATTCCACGAGTGGCTTAAATCAGCCAACAACATTTTTATTTAAACTTGTTCAGCAATTGTCATATATAGTAACATGTTTTAATTTTGAATGCAAAAAATCAGAGTGCCAGCACCACACCAAATATTATACTAGTCAAGCTTGCCTGATCTTCCACATAAACAGTGTTCCTGCAAAAACAAAACTGACTTCGGCACATGGACGATCTAGAATTGTCTCACATGGGTAACACACGGCCTCTTCCACAAAGAAGAGCAGTAAATGCTGCAACTCAGAATTGTTGATCCTGTGAAAGCAAATTATCAGAACTAGTGCTCTGCCAGATCTACCCCCCACTGGGCCTCCTTCCCACCTCCTTTCAAATCAAACTTAATCAGGTTAATATTCTGACTCTTATCACCTAAATATTCAGCAAGTGTTCATTTCCATCCTTAAACCCAACATTCTCTGTGAAGCATTTGGCATAATTCTTTCAGTTTCTATATTATGCTTCAACTCACCCTAAGAAAGAGTGTGTGTGTGTAAATACATCTTTTCTCTGTTCCCTGTTCACTGCAGCTTCCATCTCCTCCACTGTAGTCAAGTTCTAGCTTGCATGCTCCTTGAGGCAGGGACCCATCCTCCCCGCCTCGCTCGCTCGCTCGCTCTCTCTCTCTCTCTCACACACACACACACACACGAGGGTGGGGGGGGGAATACCTTGATGCTATATAAGAGTTGCAACAAGATGTTGGAGTATACCCACCTTTCCTTCTCCAAAATATTCATTCATTCATTCATTCATTCATTCATTCATTCATTCATTCATCGATTTATATCCTGCCTTTTTCCTCAAAGGGCTCAAGGCAGTTTATATCATTCTCCTCCTCCATCTTATCCCCACAACAACAACCCTGTGAGGTAGGTTGGGCTGAGAGTCTGTGACTGGCCCAAATTCACCCAGTTGGCTCCATGGCTGACAGGGACTAGAACCCAGATCGTCTGAGTCCCAGTCCCATGCTCATAACCACTACACCACACTGGCTCTCAGTACTCACTGATATTCCACTCCAGTATTGCAGAATACTCCACCATCCCCGTGTATGGCTAACAAGCATGCTGTATCCTCATTATTATGAGGTGGTTGCACTCTTAGGTTATTTTTTAAAAAAGTTTTGTGTACTTTTGCCAGCCTCAGGGTTCTGCTGAGCATAGAGATACTTTCCCATTTTTTCTCAGTTTTTGTTATATAGTTGTCAGTACTCACCACCTGAGTTCACTATTAGAGATAATGCTAAATAGTTATTTAATATAGCCTTTGCTTTTATTATATAGCAGTGCTGCAAAGAGGCAGGTGTCCAACACCAGCTTTATAAAAGAAGAAGTAGCAGATGTTTGCTACTACAGTGAATCTTCAGGCTATCGTTTTCTTTAATTGACAGAATGAAAGCCACAAACCATATTTATATTAAAAATGGGGTGCTTTATCAATTAAAAATGTAATTGGTGTGGCACAATGGGTTGGGGGGCGTGTTAGGGAAACCTAAAATTCTTGCTTAGCTTGTCACCCATCAGTCCATTTTGCACAAGCAACCCACCTCTGGCCAACGATGTCCTGAGCACGAGTGAGCCAGTCCACTGCTCCCACCTGCACATCCACTTCCACTTTCTTTAAGAACCAAGAAACTCCCTATTCCTGGATGTTGTTGTGATATGCAACTCCAGTACTTTACTTAGGAATAAACAAACTAGAACTTCAACCCATACTTCGTTGTTGTGTTAAAACTCTGCACTTCTGAACCCTAAACAACTCACAGTAGAAGTTCTGCACATCATGACAACAACCCAGGCACTCCCAAGTTATTTGGAAACAAGAAGGGATCAAAACAGGTGGGACGGAGCTGATGTCTGAACAGTCACACCAATTCCTAGACGCCTTAACCCAGGAACTGTCATGCCATGTGAACCAATTCAGTGACATTACTGCGCTCAGCTGTCATCCCATCACCCTCTTTTTTCACTAGAAACTGCTCGTCAAATGTAGAGAGGAGATACAGGTCAGTGACAGCTATTTCACCCCGTGTCTCTCTGCTTAGATCTAATATAGGTCTGCTTGGCGTGCTCAATATTCCACCCACTCAATATTCCACTCACTGAGCTCAATATTCCACCCCTCTAAAGTGGCAGCAAATGAAGTGAAGCGCATGTAGGTCAATGCAGAACCAGAATCGTTATGTCAGACATTTTGTTCTACTAGACATCTCTGGGGAGAAAGTACAGAAGAAGAGCCATGCTGGGTCGGACCAAAGCCCCACCTAGTCTACCATTCTGTCCTCACAGTGCCCAAGTTGATGCTTCCAGAAAGCCCTCAGGAGGATACACTTCCCCTTTGAATTTTAGTGTGCTCTTCACCCTCAGCTTAAACTACCTCACAGGAATTTTGTGTGGAGAAATTTTAGAACAATGAAGGAATCCCTTCAAAAGTCACTTCCTGCACAATCCTTGCCTGCCTCTTTCTTGTGTGGCCACTTGCTTCATTTTCCACAAAAACCTGTCCTTTGAGAGGAGCAGATGGCAAGAAATCTTACAGAATTTTCCTTGGTTCCCTTTCACCAAGGTTGGAGTTGGCTTTTGAATCCAACCAATCCTAGTGGTTAACTGAAAATCAAACCATATTGGTGCCATGCAATGTTGGGTCTAGGGCAATCAGCTCAAACCCTCTTCCTTTTGAAGCTGTGGCTGCAGATTTGAGTCTACAGACTGAAAAACAAGTTCAGTAGATAGACTTGCTACTTAAAAATGACTTAATCTAAGAAGTCAGTGGTATAAGCAAGAGCCTTAGTGTT